TAATTTTTGTATTTGTAGTAGAGATGGGGTTTCACCTTGTTGGCCAGGATGGCCTCCATCTCTTGACCTCTTGATCCACCTGCCTTGGCCTCCCAAAGTGCTGGGATTACAGGTGTGAGCCACTGCACCCGGCTTTTTTTTTTTTTTTTTTTTGAGACAGAGTCTTGCTCTGTTGCCCAGGCTGGAGTGCAATGGCATGATCTTGGCACAGTGTAACCTCCGCCTTCCAGGTTCAAGCAATTCTCCTGCCTCAGCCTCCTAAGTAGCTGAGATTATAGGCACCAGCACCAGCCACCACGCCCAGCTAATTTTTGTATTTTCAGTAGTGACAGGGTTTCACCATATTGGCCAGGCTGGTCTCGAACTCCTGACCTCAGGTGATCCACCCACTTTGGCCTCCCAAAATGCTGGGATTCCAGGTGTGAGCCACTGTGCCCAGCTAATGCCACCTTATTTCTTTGCCCCTCTCACTTTCTTACTAAATGTGGAGTCTCTGGCAGAGGCATGTCACTCACACTGCTGGACACAGGCCCACGGAGCTCATGGGGAACAGAAAAGGACGGCTGATCTCTTCTTAACGCTGTGGTATTAGTTTTGTGTTGTGTTTCTTCAGGTGAGATGGGTAATGTGCTGGCGTGACAAAGTTCGAGGCTGGCACACTTCACACTGCATGTGAGCACCCCCTCATCATGCTCACAAACTACAAACAACTGAGATTGCTTTAAATTCCTTATTACTCCAGTCACCCAGGCCAAAAGCCCTGGAGTCATCCTTGAGTCCTGTCTCTCCCAGCCCACCTCCACGTCCTTAGCAAGTCCCTAGCTGTGCCCTCAGTTGACATCCCGGGAATCTGATCACCATCACGAACACCCTCATCTCTCGCTTCCATCTCCCTGCTCCCTGTGACCTGGCAACAGACTGCTCCCAGCTCAGCAGCTGGAGCTAAAACACAGGCCTGATTATATCCCCTTGTAACTCGAAATGTTTCCATATCAAAGTGTCACTCATAGGTCCCTGAGTCATTCAGAAGCCAGCAGCAGATCCCCACTTCCTTCAGGGGTGAAGCCAAAGTCCTTACAATGGCTTCCATGATCCTCTCAGGTGGGCCCTGGTTTCTTCTCTGATCTTGTCCCTTCTCAGTCCTCTCCAGCCTCCCCCGCTCCTTGCTCTTCCTCACCTGGACCAGACACTCTCGAACCACAGGGCCTTTGCACTGACTGTCTGTGTCCTTCTCCCAGGACCCACAGCCCACGTCCATCCATGTCTCTCACCTCCTCTGGCCACCACTCACATTGCTTCTTTGCAAGGAGGCCTATTTTGTTTTAATCTTTTTTTTTTTTTTTTTTGGTAGAGACATGGTTTCATTATGTTGCCTGGATTGGCCTCAAACTCCTGGGCTCAAGTGATCCTCTGGCTTCGGCCTCCCAAAGTGTTGGGATTGTAGGCGTGAGCTACCATAT